AGTTTTTGAATGACATTGTTTCAGACTTCATTCGCTTCACAAATGTTTGTTAAGTGCATACTATATGAAAGAGATGGTCGTGGTTCTTGCCTTTATGGTTCTTTAATTCTAGTGGAGGATGCAGGCCTTAAAATACTAACTGAAATGTTAATTATTTTATGTATTCATTTTTTTTAGCATATATTCATAGAGCCCTACTATGAACAGGGCACTTTGCTGGGGGCTAGACAAGCATGTCTTTAGAAATTAACCCCATTTATCTTATAGCTTAATGGAATTATGTTTAACCTTTGGTTTATTCTTCCATATCTTGTTATTTTAATGAGCTTACTATGTGGATCATTAATGCATTTAATGAAATCATTTGGCACTGAAATTCTGAGATATTATGAGAGAAAGTGTTAAATCTTTAAAAAGAATAAACGTGCACTATGACTAGAACATTTTATGATTCTCTCATCAAAGTTATGATGAAAGGAAATGAGTTTATTTTGACGTGACTTTCAGTAACCTCCTGCTAGTGTTTGAAAGTGAGTTAATTGGGAGAGGAGTAGGACTGGAGGCAGGGAGACTAGTTTGGAAGTTGTTCCCACAGTTCAAGTGAGATACAATGGTGACTTGGCCTAGGATGGTAGCAGGGGCGGAGAGAAATGAATGTGTTTGAGATATAATTCAGTGATAAAGTATGGGGCTTAGAGATTGACTGGGCATGATGTTGAGGAAGAAGGAAAATTGAAGAATGGCCCTCAGGTTGTTTGAGTGGCTAGTGTATGAAAGTACTGTTTACTGACTGGAAACAAAGAAGAGGGAATGATTTGAGGAGAAGTTGACAAAATGTTTAGATTTTTTTTTGAAAAATAAACATGAGGATAATCATGAATGCTTTGACAAAGATGAATATGAGGAGAGACTTATCCTACCAGATAGTAAAATTAATTTTAAGGCTGCAATAATCAAAACAGTGTGATTCTGCTAGTAGAATAGATTGACATATGGAACCAATTAGAAACCAGAAACAGATTCAATTATATGTAAGCATATGGTATATACTTATTGTCATAGGAATTCTATTTCAAAAGAAATAGTTGAACATGTAAACAAAGATATATGCACAAGAATATTCTCTTAAAAGCGAAACACTAAAAATTCAATATGGTAGGATTAACTAAATAAATTATGATCATCTGTATATTGGGACCTAACCTTAAATTTATCATGTAGACATATATTTGTCGTTGAAACTTGTTCACAATGCATTATTATAGGTAAATATCAGATTAGAAAACATTACACATAATACTTTTATATATTTCACGTATAATATCTTCATGTAAGATTTACAGAAAATTCCTTGAACCTTCATCCCACTTTGGGTGGGAAGATACAATGCCCTCCTAAAGATTTTTATAGAATCTACAAGGTATCCAATCTCACTTCTTGTGATCATCTCTTGCTGCAAATTCCTGTTTGTGTAGAACTCTTGATTTCATTCATTTTTCTCATCTTGTACCTATTCTTGACTCTCTGCTCCAAGACTACTGGAATAGGTAACATACCCTGGTTACTTGTAGCAAGAGACTTTGTTCAGGAATATTCATAGCAACGTTGTTATTAATAATAAAACTCCTGGGAAATGTTTAGAAGTCCACTGTCAGGAGAATCTGTAAATGAATTGTGGTATACCTACCACAACTCCTGTATGACATTAAAAATAAATAAAACTCAGGAAGATAATATTGATTGAAAAAAGTCATAGAGGAACAAGAGCATTTTTTACTATATTTACGAAGTTCAAAAGTGTATAGTAAAAAACAGTTTATTCTTTATTGATACTTACATATGTACATTTTAATGACAATCCAGGGAATTATAAATACAAAGTTCAGAACAGAATTTAGCCCTGATTTGGGAGGGAGTGGGTAGGATTGGAAAGGGGAACATGGGTGGGAGGGAGAGGGTTTCAATGATAATGTTCCATCTCTTAAACTGAGTAGTGGACTCACATGAATTCATTTTATTGTTTTATAATCGCACATATCCATCCTCTTTTGAGGAATACTTGTCAGATATTTTGTTGGATGCCCCTCTTTTTTTGACAGTATGAAATATTTGATTACAAAATCATAATTTCACTATCTTTACCATCTCCTTCCCTTGCGACTCTCACTTTCCGTAAGGAAGCCGTGTACTACAGACTTCAATAAGAAACGATGGCACTCCCTTAGGAAGCAGAAGAGGGTACACTTCATTTTTTAAAATATTTTTTCTCTCCTTTGCACACAGCCATGTGTCCACTCGTACATTTACAGAGGGAAGCAATCTGGGAGGATATACACCAAAATGTTACTATTAGTTGTCTGAGCATGCTGGGTTTTCATGTGATTTTTTCCCTCTTTGTTTATATTTTCTAATATTTCTCTAATAAATGTATATACTTCCTTTTTAAGAGAAAAGCAAAATAATTCATCCTGTGTGGTTAAATTTTGGAGTATTTTTCAAGGCCTTTAAAATCCTCACAATTCTTTATCAACACAGTAAAATTCCAACTTAACCAAATCCATGAAGAATGGGTTGTTCTGATTAATTTAATTTTAGGATGGACTAGAGTTTAAGCTACAGACTTTCTTTTCATAGACTCCTTATCATCTTATTGTATTAATCTCAGTTTTTTCACTTTTGATATGCAAAGCAGTAAACAATAACAGTAAACAATAATACTAACCAAACTGAAAAGCAAAGTAATTTACATCTTAGAAAGACATAATCATTTCCCTGTTAGTTACATTTGTTAAAAAGGACGTTAGAGACTGTTCAGTTGATCAGTAAATATTTATTGAGCACCTACTATGTGGCAGGACCTGTATTAGATACTGGGGATAAAGTGGTGAACAAGACAAATTCCATCCTTCATGGAGTTTACAGTCATCTGGTGTATTCACTGTGCAGTGTGTTTCATACATAATTTTATCAATAGATAGTTCTGCTGAAAGATTTCCAGTAATGAGAAGTTCCTTCTGTTGCTTTCTAATGCTATTTTTTAGCTATTTGTTATATTAGTGCATTTTTATTTTAAAAGATAAGCAATATTATTAATTCATAGAAAATTATTTTTTGACTTGACCCAAATTTGGCTTCCTTGACTTATAAACATTGGTCTTTGTTCTGCCTTTAAGAACTTTAGAATAAATTCACCACAGCAACTTCTCCCCTACCCACTTTGTGGGATAGCTCTGGAGGGATAGCCTTTCAAATATGTTGAGAAAACTATTATGCTGCTGTATGGCTTCTCCAGGATAGAACACTGCAGTTCCTTTCATCATTTCTTCTGTGACTTGGTTTTTAAATCATACATCATCCTGATTGCTTTCCTATGGTCGCTTTCTACTTTGTCACCCTTTGTTGTTAAAAATAAATTACTCCCAATTTCCTGCTTTCAATAGAGTAGAGTGAACGTAATTGACTCTTTGATGTGTGAGGGTCTGGTATGGTCTAAAAGCAATTACACTGACCTTGAATACTTATTATACTGTACTGTAAATATCATTATAGAAAAAATAAGAATTTGTACTAAATCTTTACCAACCCTTAGATATATCTTGGAAGATTTTTTGAAAGTGAGTTTATTGTTTTCTTATTTGTCTTTTTCTTTTGATAGTGAATTAAGCTTTATAAAGATAACAAATATCAACAATAAAACATGATTAGTTATAAAATTCATCATGAAGAATTTTTTTCTCTAGTAAACTATGAACTTTCTGAAGGAAAGGGTTATGTCTTACTCTTAGTTTTTAAAAATCTCCAGCACTTAGCACAGTCCTAGATGTATATGATAGATGCCCAATAAGATTTGTTGACCAACTAATATCTTGTAGAAGAACATAAGATCTTGTAAAATGAAATGAATTCCAATTTTAATAATATATTGAAGAGTCAGTAGTATAGAATTGGACTTTAGGGGCCAGCCCCATGGCTTGGTGGTTAAGTGCGCGAGCTCCGCTGCTGGCAGCCCGGGTTCGGATCCCGGGCGTGCACCAACGCACCGCTTCTCTAGCCATGCTGAGGCCGTGTCCCACGTGCAGCAACTAGAAGGATGTGCAACTGTGACATACAACTATCTACTGGGGCTTTGGGGGAAAAATAAATAAATAAATTAAAAATTAAAAAAAAAAAAAAATAATTGGACCTTAGTTTTATCCTAACCTGAAAAAGAGTAACCTTAGTATATTAGTTAACAATATCCACAAAGAAAAATACTGGTGTGTTGTGTGGGAATACTTTTACATCTAAATGACAGAAAATCCAATTAGCAATTAGTAATGGCTCAAACAATATGAACTTTATTATTTACTTATGGAGCCTGCAGAAACCAGTCCTGGGGCTATTTGAGTATCTCAATGATATCATTAAAGTCCCAGTCCCTTTTTATCCTTTTGTTGCCATTCTTGGCCTGTTACCTATTTGATCTTAGGCTTATTGTCTTACGGTCACAACATGCCTGCCCTAGCTCCAGGCATCAAAACTATATCCAGAGAGGAATGGCCAAGGTTCTGAAAGAGCCTCCTTGCACATCTTTTCTCTGAGGAAAAATACTTTTCCAGAAGCCTCCCAGCAAATTTCTCCTTACATCTAACTGTCCAAAACTGAGTTATATGGCTATCTCTAGGAAGCAAGCAAAGGAGTCAAGTCTTGGGAGTGACTACTGATTAGGTAAGCACCAATTTATGCCACAGCTGGAAAATAGATATATATTACTAAAGAGATCATGATCTTTACTTTTTGAGTGATAAATTCAGGGGAACCAAATCATAAGAACCCTTCTAGAAAGATCACTGATAATATTGGGGTTACATGATTGCATAACTTATTCAAACAGATGAATCATCACCTCTCAATCACTCTCAGAAGAACCAATGAAACTGATTATCTTTTCTAGTTTTTATAAATTAAACAGGCTGTGTCTTTATCACAAAGCTATTTTTATTTCTTCTCCTTCCTTTCAGGAGTCCTATCCAAAGAAGAGGAATTACACTATGGAAATTGTACCATCTGCTTCCCTGGATACATTTCCTTCAGAAAATGAGAACTTTCTATGTGATCTCACGGACACAGCAGTTACAAAGAAACCCTGCTCCTTAGAAATTGCCAGGGCCCCTTCCCCAAGAACTGGTAATACATTTCTTATTCACAATGGATCAATTCAGTTTTCATGCTTGTATATATGAATATGTATCATTAGTATTTTGATTTCTCACAATATTTTCAAAATGAAAGTGCCCCATTATAGTCTCAATAATTATTTTTTGCATTTTGAAGTTGAGTCCAGGTGAGTCAAAGGGTTTTTGATGTGAACTTTCTTAACTTCCTAGCAAGATCCCTCATGGGAGAGGTACTGCCTTGGCGAAGGTACTTTCAATAGTGAAAAACCTTCTAGGTCAGATACAAAGCTTTGGGTCCTTCAGAACTTCATAGCAGATTTGGTAGCAAGAGAATTTTAATATACTTTTCTGCGTGCTATCTGTTTTCAGGTTATCAAAGTGTACTCAGCTACTTTGTATATTTTATATCTGTATGGTATTTTCAGATCTATTATTTTATTTATTAGTATTATATACTAGTGAACGAAGCAAGCAAATATTATACCCATTTTACAGATAAGGAAATTGGAGTTAAGTGTCTTATTTAAGATCAATACATGGTGAGGCCTTTGCTTCAACATGAGTGTTTGGCTGCATATTTCCTTTCTTTTACTTAACCACTGCCTCTACGAAAGAATGCAGGATAGTTACATGAAAGTGAATGAGGGGGAAAAGTTTCAAGTGGGTGGTCAACAAATTCAATGCTGCAAAGGAATGGTAAGAAAAATTCTGAAGAGAGGCTATTTTTGGTTTGACGATCCAAATTGGTGCTTATTTTTGAAAAGTCAGTTTTAGAAGTGATGTGATAAAACCAGATTTCTGGAAGTTAACAGTGAGACACTGGGAAATGGGAAATAAGGGAATGAGAGTGGAGAATACAGATTACCCTTTCAAGAAGATTAGAAGAAGAGATATGATGGTAACATGAGAAGAAAGAAGTACAGGGGAGAAATGCCTAGTTTATTGAAGGGTAAGGCTAGGTCAAGTTTAGAGGTTGGAGGAATTTGCTGGTGGAGACCAAGGGATTGAAGATAAAGAATAAGTAGAGAGAACAGAATAGGTATAAGTTAAGATTGAGCAAGTCTAAGAAAACACAGACTTTGCTTCCACCAGAGAGAAGAGAGAAGAGAGCATGGTTATGAATATAGAGAAATTCTGAAATATGTATTTCCAAATGGATTCAGTCTGGGTAAGAGATAAAAGGTCATTAGCTGAAAAGAAGAGCTAGGTCTTGAGAAGGGTTAAATTAAAATTCAGAAAAGCCATTTCAGATAATAAGCGAGGGAATTTTATAGAATTTTTATAGAAGTGAACAAATAGGCTTTTGAACAGCATTGAGGCTAGGGTTTTGTATGAATCATAAACATGCAGAAGGAAGATTTTTAGGATGATGTAAGAGCATAATAATGAAAATACTTAAAATTTGTTGAGCATGTACTATGTGCCAGATACTGTTTTAAGTGCTTTATATACGTTTTTTCATATAATTCTTACAATGCAGTAAGGTAATAATATCATTATCCCCAGTTTACAGATGAGGAAACTGAGGCAGTGAAATATTAGGTAACTTCCCAAGGTTACATGTTTATAAGGAATGGATCTGGGACTTAAACTTGGATTGTCCACCTTGTGCTCTTAAATACTATGTTACAGTGCTGCATTATGTTAGGAGATGAAATGGAGCAGAAATTGTGAACCAAGTACTGAAACTCTCAAGAAATGTGGAGGTATGACTGGAAGTCCACGTATGATAGCAATAAAATACAGAAAAGAATGTTATAATAGGATAGCCAAATCTTTAGATGAGCAGCAGATTTTGGATGGAGGCAGAAGAACTGTGAGTGATCCAGAAGCAGTGATGGAGAGGGAAGACAATGCTGATCCCAAACTAAGGGGGTTGATGAGAATGAAAAATCTTCCATAGGAGAAATATTGAAGGAAATAGTGGGAAAATCAGGGGGAAAGCTCAGTTAACATAGGAAAATGGAGAGCATATATGTATGAAAATGCAAAAGAGCTTTAATTATGGCACAGTGTAGGAGTGTGTCAGGGGTGATGGAGGCAGGAATGAAAGAGTCAAAGAAGACAGGGATTTCTTCATTAAACAATTCAACATGAATTGAGTTCCTTCATGTGCCAGGCACTGTTCTACATGCTGAGGATAGAGGAATGAAAAAGACCTGGACCCAAGCAGGAGGACTGATTGGGCTCAGAGCAACTCTCCTGCTGAAAACAAGCATGCTGGATAAAAATACAGAAAAGAAAAACTTCTTAATAGCATCAAAAAGGTGACCGGAAAATTATATATATCAAATAACATTTAACTTAGGAACTTTTTATTAGTAGGTTAGTAAGAAGTAATCAAGCCCAAACACTGGTGAGGGTGGGAAGCCAGTGGAACACTAAGGCCACTTGTCCTGAGGGAATTTGCTGAACCTGCTGTTGAACTTTGAAGCTCAAGGCCTCTGTATGTTTGTATACAGAAAACAAATCTCTGTGCCTGCCCAACATAAAGACTGTAATAGGAAATCTTTCTTCCATACTGCTGGGACTCCAGGGGATACATCATCACAGTAATCAGAAACAATCCTTCCCCATAACCCCTACCCCAAGGAGACTTTAAGGGAAGGTGATTTGTTGTAAGCAGAACAAGGCAGGGGGAAATTCCTGAGGAGTTATTACCACAAACTGGTCCTCACACAGATTTGTAGCTAAAATTTATATCACCTAGATGGTCCCAAAAACGTCAATCCATGAATTTAGTTTAAAGTAATACCCTCAGGCATCAAGCAGAAGCAAATGTAATCCCTCTAGAGAGGAATATGCTCTCTTCCTAGGCCCCAGATAATTCCTATAAATATTTTTCCAATTAAAATTAGCAGTTTACAATAATTAAGCCTGAAAGGATTCCCCAAATGGGAAACAATAGAAACAAGAAGGGACAGATCCACAAATATTGGAATTATCAGATGCTGACTTCAAGATGCCAATGCTATTATAAATAAAAAAAAGATAAGCTTGAAGGTATTTTGAGGAAGAAAACTATAAAAAGTGACCTAGCATATTTGAGAGGAAAAAACAAATTAGATTAGATTCAGCTGAAGAGAGAGTTAATAAGCTGGAAATTAGGTCAGAAGTTTTTCAGAATGCTGCTTAAAGAGACAAAGAGATGAAAAATATGAAAGAGAAGCTAAGAGACTTGGAGGATATACCGAGAAATTCTAACTTGTCTAATCAATGTTCCAGAAGGAAAGGAGAGAGAAAATGGGGCAAAAGTAATATATTTGAGGAGCTAATTTTCCAAAAAGGCACAGGCCTCCCCTTGCACTCACATGGAGGCAGACAAGTGAACAGTTAATTTCAATAGAGTATAATAAGCGCTAAGATAATGTTACACAAGGAGTGCTTTGGGATCAGGAAAGAGCAACATTTAACCCCGCTTGGGAGTTTGAGGAAGAATTCATAGAAGAGATGATGTCTGTATCTGTTATTTATTGCTATTTAACAAGATGCCCCAAAATGTACTGACTTAGAGTAATATCAGTCATTTATTTTGCTCACAAATCTGCAGGTTTTCCCAGGTTCATTTGACAGGGACAGCTTGTCTGTGCCACATGAGCTGGGGCTGCTCAACTGGGGGACAGAAGACCCACTTTCAAGGTGGCCCACTTACATGGCTGGCAAGTTGGTGTTGGCTGAGAGCTTGGCTGAGGCTGTAGCCTGAGGATCATTTTTCCTTTCCATGGACTGCTTGCGTTTCCTTATGATGTACTGGCTGGACTCTGGGAGTGAGCATCCCAAAAGAAATAGGTGGAAGCTGTTATCATTTTTATTATCTAGCCTTAGAAGTCACAGATAATCACTTCTACTATAGTCCCAAGCCCACTCAGCTTCAAAGGAAGTGAACCCCATTTCTTGATGGAAGGAGTGTCAAAGTCATTTTGTAATATAGGATGGGAGATATTTTTGCTGTTATTTTCAGAAAATACAATCTGCCATGCTCTGCCCTCTGGGCACAATAATTTATATCCTTTTATATACAAATTACATTAGTTTCTTCCTTCAGGATCCCCAAACATCAGCCCATTACGTCATGAGCTCCAAGTCTAGGTTCAGATGTGCAAGAGTCTCCCTGGTGAAGTTCTTATGGTAAGGTCCTTGATTACCTTTGCTCTTGGTAATGATGATCAGTGAACTAAAGAAACAAGTTATCAGTTTCCTCTCCTACACACCCAACATATAATGATCGGGCAGGCATAGGAAAACCACAATTGACATGCCCATTCTAATACAGGGAAAACAGGGCACACAGCAATCACTAGTCTATGGCAATTCAGAATCTAATCAGGCCCAGTTCCTTGATTGAGGCTTGGTCTTATGGTGTAGGAATTGTTCTCTGTGGCTCTTGGTTCCACCCTCTAGTCATTCTTCCTTTTCCATAAAAAGTAGCCCATGTTTACTGCTGAGTATCTTTCTCACCTGCTTTCTGCCTGTAAAAGATTAGGGGTCAAAGACCTCTTTTCATTTTGTGCAATCTCTGTTCCTTCCAGTCCGAGCTGATATAATTTCTTTTAAAACTGTAGACTTTTTATGTTTCAATTTACATTCCACTCCATTAGACAAAAGTTTATATTCCAGATAAGCTTTTCTCTACCTTGGGCTCCTGATGAGACTTCAGTAAGACAATGTCCTTAAGATTCTTAGAAACTCTACTGTTGAACAGAGAGGATCTATGAGGCACACCCTTGAAAATCTTTAGAGGGTCTTTTGTCTGGCTTAAAGCTTCAATGAAGCACCACCTGAGAGCTCTCTTATGTCTTAACAAATGATTTTATAATCCCACTCAGATTTGATTATTGACCTTCTTAATTTGAGAATTGCTTGCAATTGGAGCAGGTGGAAATAAGAAACCAGTTTCTTCTTTATTTATTTATTTATTTTTTTGTGAGGAAGATCGGCCCTGAGCTAACATCTACCAATCCTCCTCTTTTTTTGAGGAGGAAAACTGGCCCTGGGCCAACGTCTATGCCC